ATTCATTGATGGCTTTGATGTGTGAAAAACACCTCTTTTGAGGGACAGAGACAGTGCCGGCCTGCGAAAAGCAGAATCCATGCATAATTGATGCCCATTAAAATGGATTGGAGGGGAAAAAAATTTAAAAAATGGGGGCAAGGCACCAAACTCTCCAAGATATAAAAAAAATATACACATTGGAAAAAAATCAGCATGTTCTGAATTGCAGTCGCCAGTACATAACACTGTGTGAATGAGTCTAATTCTTTCCATGAGGTTTTTGTGGCTTTTTACACTATGCCGTAAAGTTAAGACGGGGTGCTTTATTGTTTTTAGTGGTTAACTATGTCATTTACATTGTTAGCCTTGCAACATAATTTCCGAAGTCCTTTTCAAACTACTGTTACCAAATCAATTTAAAAAATACAAAAAACACCAATCTGCCTGTTCAAAGTTTTTACGTGTTTAACAAAACCATTTCAATATAACTGATTTTATTTAAGCTAACAACTTGAAGGACCTTTTTTTTTTTCTTTTCACAACGGTGACAGCTTGTGTGGAACAGATTTCAGTGCATTGAAGTCAAGAGATGGGTCTTTACCTGAACAGCACAGCCCAGAAGCAGTAGCAGTAGTTTCTTCATCTCCTCCAGACCTCGCTCTTAAGGACAGAAATAGGGAAATCTTCCGTGAGGAACAAAGCTGCTAATCCTCATGTGTCACATGTTTGTGTTCCAATGAACCCTCCTATTACTGTTTATATTATTTTTCAGGAAAAGAAATATTGTCTCTGGGTTGATTTGACCCAGGGCACGATTGCTGGATCCAAACGTGCAAGAAATATACTGTACTGAAAGACTACTTTGGAATGTCGTAAAATACTTCGTTTTAAATGTAGTTTAATTGGTTCGATCTGAACAGGTCTCTTCGGAGTGCCGGTCCACCCATCAAATTGAAATTAAACACTGAAGAGGGTAACTACGATGTCCTTTTTGAGGATGTTTTCCTCAATGAAAAGACAAAATTAACTTGCAAACTCGTCAGCTTGCTGTACAGGCCACAACTCATCTGCTGGATTTTAACCAGGTGTTGAGAGTCTGTATGTGTGTGTGTATCACAGTGAATAAGCGCAAGGTATCGTGACTCCACTGCTGTTGTGGGTGTCGAGTCGTGACACGGTGATTTATGTGAACGTGCAACGCACAAGGGGCAGACGATGAAGAAGGTTATTAACCTCTGACTTTACCCTTTTGAACATGAGAAAGAAGACAGGAACAAAAGAGGCAATGCAGTGCTTGCTTTGGAAAGCCTCACCAAGTCCAATTAAAGGCGTGTGAAAGGTCACAAATTCATTAGGTAACAGACTCGCTCAGGCCACTACATTTGGTACACTGCACCGACGCATGCTCAGTCCAGGGTGGACCTCCACCAAGGTAAAAAAAATTGGGGTGAATGCTTTTATTTTTCTGTGGGTGTACCAAATGGATGTAATGTCATTACAGGGTTTTTCCATGCTGTGACAATGAGGCGCTCTAAAGTGGCCACTCCTGCCCAAAGCCCTGGTCCACAAATTGGCAGTCAAGCCGGACTCCAACACCCTAAAAAAACCTCTTCCGCCTTCTCTCCATGAAAAGCACACACTTGTGGCAAACAACGAAGAGCTCTAACACAGCCATGCCAGTGCGAGGCTCCAGTCCGCAAGTAAATATAAACAATTTTTCATCCTCCATTAGTTGTTGATTAATCGTTGCATCTCAACAGGATATTCAAAGAGCATTCACAAAATGTTCAGTGGTCGAATTGAATGTCATCTGCTTGAGCAAGTGTACCTAATTTAGTGTCCCCATGAGTGTTAAGTAGAAAATTGAGGCGCGGGGGGGGGGGGGGGGAACACGCTTTGCACCTTAGCAAACACTGGTGTGCACTGCTATATTTAAACCCTCCCCACACCCCTTTGATACGCTTTATTCTCTCATAATAACTATGATACGGTCAGCATTAAGCTCTTGGCAGCGACAAGGTATGGGATTGCCATCAGCTAGCGGCTAACAGTTTCTGTTGCCAGCTAAATACAGTACTACGCTTTGTTCATCGTGCACACCATATCCAATACTTAGAACCTAATGGTGTCTTTTGGCCGCTAAATTATACTCTACTTGTAGGCCCAGCTCGACCAGACATTCAAACAACTTCTTCCCCCTCGCAATTAACTCCCTAAAAAGAAACGCAAATCTATCGTGGCTTTTGGCATTCTTGCACGTCACCCCTAATCATTGTAGATTCAGCTCTCTACATACTAGAACAATTGTTGTTCATCAATATTCCACAGCAGCAGACACTTGAAAGCGCTCAAGGAGTTTCTGTATGTTCGCACACCTAAAGTTGTATCACAATTCCTGCTGTTGGTCACTTAAAAATGGTGCAACAATTATCTGCACAACCGTCACAGTACTGTATTGCCCCACTAATCACTTTATCTCTGCTCGATGACTACACACATTGTCGCACAGCTGCCATTGGGTGGGACTACTGCACAATGGTACCCTTACATGGAGAAAATCTTTCGATACTTAAATGTTCAGGTCTTTGTTTCTTCGTCATTGCTTGGTATACTAGTGTAGCCTATATTATGGGAAACAAATTCCTTGTGTGTTCTACATACTTGGCCAATAAAGATGATTCTGATTGAATGCACTTTAACTGTCAATATACTATGTCCTCCTTCGAGTCGCTCGCTGTGCCCATCTTCAAGTCACTAGTTGTGCCCGTTAGCGGCTAAATGCGACCCAACCCTTTGTGTTGCAATCTGTGACAATGCCATAGCAACCGCCAAACAACAACAACTAATGATCTTGATTTACATTCCCAGCTCCACTTCCAAGCAAAGAGTGGCGCCTGCAGTGATGGAACGCCACAACAAACGAGTCCAATTTTCTGGAGGAGACTTGTTGTCATCCATTTTAGCATTTAACGGTCCATCTTTGCAAGCGGAACAAAACAATCTCATTAAAAAGTACTATCGACTGTCTGGGCCTCATGACATTGAAACAAACTAACCTACTGTATGTGCAACACTGAAATACTTACGCACTGAAATGAAAGCAAACTGAAGTTCGATAATTCATTACAAGACCACATATATATACTTTATGAGAGCACCTTCACTTGTTTGGATGTCTGGGCATACAGTGATGGTCGCCACTGAGATTTGCACTATATATGAACACTGTATTCTTGCATTATGAATGCTCCTATACGTCTATTCTGTGGAAATCAGGAAGTAGCTAAAAACCTAGCTATCTTACTGGCTGGTTGTTTGTCTGGTAGGCCATTTGAGTACAGGAAATAATAAAATACTGTCAGGATAGCTAGGTAGTTAATCTGATAACTATCCAGCTTTTAAGTTAGTTTCAAGTAGGTAGGTGGTTTGTTAGTTCATTCTTTACTTTCCTATCTATGGCAGGAATGGTACACACTAACACAGAATCAAAACTTCACCTCCCTTTCTCCATGAACTACAATCAGAAGTACCACATTACGTAGCTATTTAGTTGGTTTGATAGTCATTCACAGTTGGAATGTTAAGAATGCTACATTTAACTAAATCAAAACTGCACCATCAGTTCTATACAAATCAGGAAGTAGCGAATTATTGAATAACGAGCTAGTCAATTCACAGTCAGATGGCCATTTGAGTCATCATGGCAGAATGGTACAGTCGGTGAAGCATCAATCGGGACGTAGCAAATCATTAGCTAGTTAGCTAATACAGAAACAAAACAGGGACTCACAATTCTTGCCGCAGACGTCTAATCTTAGCCTTGGCATCAGCCAACTCCACCGAGAGGTGCTGTCGGCTCTCTGTCCTCCTCATGCTGGGGGAGCCGTTGGGCGACTGGGCCGGACCGGGACCCAGCGGAGACAGCTGAATACAGTCCCTCTCTTGGGTCAGCTCCACGATAGTCTGGACCAAAGGAGAGATGAGTTTGAATTGGCACAAATTAAACTAAACCAGCCTTGGTTAACTGTTCTATGCTGATATGACAATTAAGTATGTTAACTAGAAAAAAAAGGGCTTTACGACAGCAACATGATCCCCAGGCTGTGACAGGAAATGGACTTTTAATTGAGAACTTCTGGATAGCACACTGGTAATCTGGAGGCGATTATATATATATACACACACACACACACACACACACACACACACACACACGCGCACGCGCACGCACGCGCACGCACACGCACACGCACGCACGCACGCACGCATTTGTATCAGTTGTCGGCATCTGCCCCCTATGGCTGGAAACACAAGTGACGCGTGATTCGTGAGAAAAACACGGACACAGACACTCCAATCGTTCACCCACGAGACAGTTAAACAATCTGCAGCCTTTTCCTTCCTGAGGCCACTTGCTTGTGGTCAACTTCCCACACAACTGAACATGGTGCCAGCCATTCTGCATGAACTACGGATTAACAAGTTCCTCTCGCATCTCCTCGTTGCGTCTATTAGCAGCTAAATGCTAACATGTCCACCTTGAAGTCAATAGTTGTGTCGCTCATTTTGTCTGTTCTCAGCTAAATGCTGAACATCGTGGCAGTTATTTAGTGATTTTGAAATTGCTGCAGTTTGAGTCATTATTCCAGTGACAAAGTTAACACAACAACTATCCATTCTGCATGATGAAGGAAGCAACAAAACCTTACCTCCAGCTGCGTGTCCCTGTCATCCACCACGTGTTTGAGATGAAAGGCCAGATTCCTGGATAGGCTTTCCAGGGCCTCGGCGGGCAGCTCCCCCCTTTCCAGCCACTGCAGGTCCA